ATTTCAAAAGTTCTTATAAATTATCTGCTCTTCTAACTTGTATTTTGATAAATATGATATGTAAGCAAAGACTCATAGAAACGATATTCTTTAACTTTTATCTCACGTGCTTCAAACATAAGGCAGACATTATGAATCTATATTATAGTACCCTATTTAAGATATAATCAGAACCTTGTATTTCGAGAAAATAAAGAATAAAACTTGATAATGCTTTCCTGAGATGTTGCTAATTAATAATTCTATTACTTCAATCTCTGAATAGGAACTAAAATAGTTATATTTAATATTCTTTTCCAGTCCTTTGGTTGGTACAGCATTAAATGCATGGGGCAAGATTGGTTGTGGAATAATTCTTGCTCTTAGTGCTTATTTTGTTTATATCAATTATATAACAAATCCAGAATTTTATAAAAGTTTGAAATTGAGTCGCGAAGCAAGCAAAAAAAGTACACATGAAGAACCAGCTCAGTAAGTATTTTAAAAATTATTTTTACATACATTTTTTTTTCTCTTCTTTTTTTTAGTCGAGAAGCAAATGCCGGTTAGAAAACTAATGATGCTAACGCACCAAAAGGCGCACTTAACACACACCTATGAACATTTCTAATTCTTCAAGTTTTCTATTTAGTTTCTAGTTATATTCGTCTTGATCTAAACTCTAGCATTATTATCTCTTACAAAATTCAATCCAACGCTATTATCCACAGTGTGTCTGACCTATGTTTTTTGTCACAGAAAATAAAAAAAAAAAAAAAAACCTATTGAATGATTAATCTGAATTTCAATTCTGAAAGGAAAATTTTCTTTTTGTTCGTCATAGAAACTTCATGTGTACTTATTGAACCAAGAATAATGATTAGCTATACTAGGGACATATATTTTAATCAATAGATTACAAATTCTATTGGCTACATCTGATATTTATGCCAAACAGATCATCATCAGCAAATCTAGTAAACATGAAAACCCGAAAAATCCGAAAAACGTAATTCAATTTTCATCAAATTTTATATAATTTTAATTATATTGAATAATTATATAATTTCTTTATCATATGACTGTTGACCATTCAACCACATAGTCTCTTAATTGATTCTATAAGTGATCAGGTTGATTTGATGTTATTTTTTATGTAGAGTCATTAAGTTTTATGCAAATATATTGTGAGTAAGCCAGGCGATTAATAAATGAACTAAATAATTTGAAAGCTTGTCAATAATTTAAATGATTATAAAAAACAGAACTGAATGAGTCGCGATGGCACACCGCTTTGTCCTGTCTCATTTCGAAGTGATGCTAAATTTTTGACGGTGGGATGATGGCGCGACACCGCGAGATTTTACAATTTTCCCACCTTCTGATGATAGTGCTCCTTCTGTTAAGAATATTGGTAAATCAACAAAAATGAATCATTTTTATTAGTTTGTTGTACTTCAACATAGTCAATATATAGATTTTACTTTATTTAAGGTCATTGAAGTGAAGTAGTGATTGTGATTATGCATGTACCAAAGTCAGAACTGTTGGTTTTGAGATATTGGTTTTGCTATTTAGGTATTGTTTTTGATGTGAATTTAATATTGTTGTTATTGACTTTAGTATAGCTTTAGTATTTGATGATTTTAGTTTTTATATTTGTTTTGAAGTATTAGACGAAAACTGATTCTGAAAAAATGAATTCATAATACTTTCTTGTACACTTGATCATACATATCCTCTTGAAGTGAGCGTTGAATATATTATTATATATCAATCAATAGTAGATATTTTCAAGAAACCATAAGCTTACAATGATCAATTTATCTTTTTGAAATCTATCGATAATATAATCTTGACAATACGATGGAAGAAAGATACTTATAACAAGCACAGCGCAAAAGTTCTCGTTTTTCCCTATTCAGAGTTTTTAAGAAAGCTTATTTTACTTTGTAAACAATTTGTCTCATTTTAGATAGGTGTCTTCTTTTAAATGAACATCTGTAGCACATGAACAAACGTTTTTCACATAAATAACAGTATTTTATTAGAGCTGATTCTGAATGACCTTGCCAGTAACTTGTGAAAATCAAGGCAGCATTTTGTTTAGTGATATTAAAAATACCTTCGGCATCAAGTACCGTAATATTATCTTGTAGTTGAAGATAGAATGGATCGATATTAACTAAACCAAGTGATTTACCACTTACAATATCACATAAATCGAAGGAAAGACGACCACCATAAAGGATATTAACAACAGAAGGATTAATAATTTGCGTTCTTACCCGAAGAGCAAGTGCTTGACAGGATATAGCTCCAATTAAATCTATGTTATCAATATTTAGAAGTCCGTTATCAAATTCATTATAACCAACAAGATGAAGTGTATCATTTATTGGAATATTCGATAGAGTAATATTTCCTATTCGAACTTCAGCAAGTGCTGCAGCTAAACCTTCAATCATAATTGATGCATTAGTCGTAAGAACAAGATTAGCAGCAAATTCTTTAAATGATGCATCATTCAGTACAATAAGTTCTTGTTTATTAAAACTTATAAACAGTTCATTTGTTGTTTGATTATGTTCAACAGGTAAATCGTGAAGAATCATTTGACCCATACTTGGTTTATCATTAAAATGCATAGTAAAATTAATACTAGTTCTTAATGCTTTAAATTTCATGTGAATGTTAGATGGTAATTCAAAGAAAACTGATAATCGACCTGTTACATACACTTTATTTACATGAACTGAATCAAATTCGATGCTAAAATTAAGAACATTGACTTGATGAATTAATTTTGTTTCAATTCCATCGAGATTAGCTTTCATTGATAGACCACTTATTGTTAAATCCATTGCAATTGCATTTTTTACAGAAGATTGATTACGAAAAACTTTTACTGTTTGTGTTTGACCATTAAGATATGCTGAAAAGAATTTACCAATAACTGGAAGATCTGTTTCACGTGATGGAGCAAGAAGACTAAAATAGTTATAATAATAATAATAAAGAAAAAAATCTGAATAAAAAAACCTAAGCTAACCCATTGAGTGTAAATGCATTGTTTCCTGGTCGTATAGCGAGAACATCGATTGATACTTGGCCAAGTATCGTACCATTTTCTCCTTCGGCCATGTATAGTGAAAAATTTCGCAGTTGAACTACAGTTACTCCTGGATTATTAATAGTTGCGTTAATTGAAAGTCAAAGAGCAGCTCCTTGTGTTCTATCAACAGAAATTTCATCAACATGAACATCGTTGAGGCTGTCAAGACCTACTAAAGGTACGTTATTTTCTATAAGCAGTTGATCAATATTCAAAGGACCAAGAGCAAATGAACCAACGATAGATGCCACACCAACAATACGAAAATCAATTGGATGTGTTTTATTAGCACTGATAAAATTTCAAGTAAATTTTTCATACGCACCTGTATCAGTAAGACTTAAATATTTCGTATTAAATTGCGATTGGTATGTTATTTCATCTAGTTGTTTAACTGGCGCTTGAGAAACATTAAGTATTCCAACAGAATCATTTTCATAGAGAAGAAAAACACTCATATCCATTTTTTGGATATTAAGTGGAGATTTTGGACCAAGAGGTGAATTTATTTTAATAGTAATTGAAGCTGAAAGCATTACTTTTTTCTTATTTGTCGACGGAATAAGAGACATAGAATTAAATATTAATGAAGCAATAAGTTGTTCCTTAAATGGAGGCATATGAACATTTAAAGAAAGACCTATTATACCAACTGCGAGGAGAGGATATGATGTAGCATTTGGACCAGCTAATGCTTCAACATTACTTGTTTGACCCGTAAGAAAATTTTGAATGACAATAGAAAGAGCATTATAAGATTCTGATGATGCAGATTGTAATTCGCCGAAAAATTGTATAGCATTTTCACTTGGATGAATCGTAATATTGTTACTAGTTGATTCAACATGACCAATAGACCAATTGTTGTATTGTAAAGAAAAATATAATTGACCTAATTATAAAATGATAATATGATAAATCATTTGCAATAATATTCTTCACTTACTTATCAAGATCAATACTGAATATAGATGGATTAGTAATTTTGATAATAAGATCGATAAGTACTCGATATGCATCTGATCGTTTTAAACTAATTGAAACAATGCTTACATTAGGAAGACGATTTAAAGCATCCAACGTAACTTCTTTATTAAATGGAATCTTCGAATAAGAAAGCATATGACGTGATATAGGTCGTACAGTAGCTTCAGCTTTTAAATGCCATACAACATTAGGTTCAAAGATGAGAGAACGAGCAAAATTGCGAAAAGCCTTCATGTCAGACACAATAAATGGAGAATTAATCGGAACTATAGTTGGACCCGCAGCATCACCAGTAATAGAAATGGATTTAACATAGAAATATTTATTGAACTGAAGACTTTGACTAATGATATGGTATGAAAGAGTGATTCTTGATAGATTGAATATGCTTAACATGTTTTCTGTATAAAATCAGTAGTATCTGTAATCATAATATCAATATTATGATTATAACTTATCATTCACTCAATTTAAGGAAATTTTTTTCGATTGATCTTCATATTTATGTCTCTATTGCTCCCAGAGCTGGGCAAGTCAGATATCTTTCAAGTGTAGATGTGAGTGTTGATCTACAAATGATAATCCAGCACCAAGAAATAAATCTGATATTCGGAATCAGCGTAAAAAACTATCCTTGACAACATATTTTTCTTCTTGAAATATTTTTCACGAAGATTTCACTATACTCACTCTCGATCATTTATGACTAATACTCAACTCTGTGCTGCCGTACTGATCAAATCTCGATGAAAAATAGCTCATGAAGAAAAATATGCTGCGTAGGGTAGGTTTTCACGCTGATTCCGAATATCAGATTTATTTTTGATACAAATCAATTTTCGCCTATCAAACTCTCGAAATGTCCTTAATTTTACACTATTTTCCATGAAAGTACCTTTCTGTAAAGGTATCATGCTTTTTTTGGTAATGTTAAAAGTATCAAAAAGTCTGATTTAGTAATTTTATATCACAACACTATTCACAACAAAAAGATAAACTAAACAAGAGAATATTAACTAGTCATGAAAGGAGAACTTATGTCAAATAAACCAGCACTTTCACACATATCTAATCAATGATAGGGAAAATATAACTTTTAATCAAAAGTAATTGATTTTTCTTAAGGGACAAAAGGGTGACATATCCTAGATAGTAGAGTTTGATGTGCTCTATCATGCGTAGAAATATCAAAGTGATTGCTTGTTGCCACACAAAATGCGATTGACTGAGATTTTGGTATTAAAATACATACAAACGAAGTACTTAGGAACTCCTGATAGGATCGATGAAAACTTTTGAATTTTTATATATAGAAGGACAATACCTCAATAGTTATAGTTAGAAAAACGAAAAGTCAAAAGTTTCATGAGTTGAAATGAGATAGTCACTTTTAACAAAGAAAATTGCGCAAAAAGCGAAAAAAATTACTATGAAAAATTATCAGAAATTTCGTTAGTATTTTGATGGGTTGTATAGGAAAAGGTAATCAGCGCGAACTAAAAATTTCAGGGAATACTAAACTTACTATCCTCTATAATATATCAAAATTCTTTAATTGTAGCAAGTCAACACAATGATGATAAAATTCTTTTTGTTTTTTAATAAATGAATATATGTATTTTTTTAATTTTTACTTTTCAGTTAATATACAAATAAATAAATAAACATAAACAAGAAACAAGAATAATAAATAATTACGGATGTGGGCGTGGGGTGGATGTGAGTGTTTTCTCCTGATACACCAACACCCACATCCAAATCGTACACCCACACCCACACCCACACTCTTGCAGCTTGATGTGGTTTTGGATCATCTGTTGGTGGTTCACTTATTGCTCGACGTGGATTGTTCTAAGTATAAAACATAGTCTTCAATGTTTGTTGAATTATTGATGTCCTACCTGGGTATTTATTATTTTTCTATTGTACATAGCAGCAGCAAAGGCTTCGGCAATTAATTTTGGCTCACCACTTTCATCTATGCCTAAAGTTTTGTCAAGTCTTTTATCCTATAGAAATGATAACGCATCAATAAAAACAAAAGCTAAAATTTAATCAAAACCTCCACAAATGCTAAAGGAATCAGTCTTCAAATTGAAAACAGTAAGATCAGCATCAGCACATACCGTCTATTTCGACATTTGAAAATTCCATCTGTTTCAAGACCATGAAAAAGAAACGAACGTTGAAATGAAACAATGAGAAACATATTACAAACACAGTGATTAAATGTACATCATTAAAACTTAAAGCATTGAACAAAACGATAACCATATCGTCAATTGATGCTGCCATATTGCCAAAGCAACTACTTGAGTTTAGATACATATGTTTAGCGAGCCATGAGGCTTGAGGATCCGATGGAAACTGGACGTACATTAAACTTTCAGGCGTAGCACTGGAGCAAGCATCAACAAAACGTTTTGCACGATCTAAAGAAAACACATGAGATTGATTTTAATCACTCAAATCATTAGTACAGCAGTGCCTCCAATAAAAACAGAATATTTCAGTTTTTTTCTTCGATTTTCCTTCACACTCATATCTTTCGAAACAACAGCATAAAAAGTCTATGTATATATAAACATATTTTTGAATGATTGTCAACAACCGTGCGCAAAAGCAAAGAAACAATTCAGTTGTTCTGTATTTCATTCGGAATCTTATCTACACGTAAAAAGTATTTGAAAATAATTTGGCAGTCTTTCTCTAGTTTTTCAGTACAATAAAATGGAAATTATTTCAGAGAAAAAATCGTTCAATTCTATACAGTCAAGTAAACGCCTAAGAAGCTGTTTCAACGCATTCTGACCATTCCGCTCTCTGACTAGCTAGCGATCGGTCGCACTTATCTAGGCTATTCTTGTCTCTCTACCTTTTTCTTTGACCTTTAAAGTCATTTTTCTTGTGTTTTTTTTTCGTAAAATCTCTTTTTCATATCCATTTGAAGTAAGTAAATTAAGGTTAGTGAATCTCAAAATGCCTCCAAAAGTAGGAGGTGGTACTGTTAGTGTTAAAAAGCTGAGGCAAAATCGTGATAATGCCCTTGTCTACACTAGAAAAATAATTCGGTATTAATTTCGAATCAAATCTACATGCGTCTATGCTTATGAATTTAATGCATCAATCAGAACTGAGAAAGAGTCACTATAATGTAGTCGAAGTGCATAATTCTGGCACGTGTTCGCGAATAAAACGATGTTGCTTCTCTGTCTCATTAATCCTTATAGTTCATCGTATTAAAAACATCTATCTATCGATAATAATAAAAACGACTTTATCAAGGTTCGTTCATCATTTTGATTAGTGGATCGCAGTCTTTCTCGATTGATACATTAAATTTAGTTCATCTTTGAAAAGTGCATTAAATCTGAATTAACTTTTCGACCAATCAAGTTCCTGAATTCAATATTAAATTTTCTAGTGCAGACAAGGTCAATGATAATGAAGCTCGACAATCAGCTGGATTAAGGTCTTGTCTATACTAGAAAAATAATACAGTATTAATTTCGTATTAAAATGATACGCGTCTTCACTTATAAGTTAATGCATCAATCAGAATCCAGAGTGATTTGTTGCTTTGTTTAGTTCGATTGGTTCACAGAAATCGAATTTAAAGTTGCTTTGTGCATTAACTTTAATACGGTTTTGAAAAGTTGTATTAACTTAATACACTTTTCAAAACTGTATTAAATATGTATTAACTTTTCGACCAATCACGTTTCTTAATTCGGTATTAACTCTTGTAATGTAGACCAGATCTAAATAATGGTTCACAAGCAGATAAAATTTCATTAGCTGCAAAAATGAACCAATCAAAATTTTCAATAGCTCCTCTAATTCTAGAAGGCATTAAATTACAGAAGCTGCAACTGAATGATATAATAAAGCAGCACTTAAAGGACATTAGAATATCTAATATTCAACTTAATAGATCAGGTATTTTTACACTATATGCAACTGATGTTAAATGATTTAATCGTCTTTTAAATGAATTTACTACAAAACTTGCATCGAATGGTCAAGCAACAGCCAAATTATATGTTCGTCGATCCATTCAACGAATTAAAGATACAGAAAAAGTCGCTTTTGTCAAAAGAGTTGACTTAGAAATTCCGAAAGATCGAATAACAGAAGCATTAAAAAACGTTAGTCTTGATGTCATAAATGTTACTCGATTAAATAGTAAAGATCGAAATACACCGACCAGAACAATTAAAATTATATGTAATGATGCACAAAATCGAAATACATTTGTTCACACTGATCTACAAGTAGATTCGAGGCTTTTTCAAGCAGAACGAGAAATGTAAAATACAAAGCCAGCACAATGTTACATATGTCTTAAATACAATCATGTAGCAAAATACTGCAAAACAAAACAGCAGATATTGTGCTCGATGTGGTGAAAATCATCGTATTGATCAATGTACTGCTACTAATGATGTATTAAAATGTTACAATTGTAAAGGTAATCATTTAGCAACATCAAAAGAATGCATTAATTATAAAGAACAAGAAAAAAGAATGCAAAATCTAATTAATCAATATTCAACACAAAGCAAATCAACAACAGCACCGGACTTATATGTTCTTAATGAATTTCCATCACTACCAAACATTTTTCAACGTCAACAAGAACACTTACATAAAGGATTATTCGATGAAATTATCAATGTATTAAGAAGCAAAATGGAGAAAATTATCGAAGAAACAACAAGTCGATTATTCCAGACGCTGCAACAGAAAATCAAGAAAATCGAAAATTCGTTCGGCACTTATGACAACAAGCATGATGATGCCTTAACTGTCTCTGATTCAGATTCAAATGAAGAAGGTCAAGTAGTTAAGCCAAGGGGGAAAAAACGGAATCCTGGAATCTTGAATTCCTCTGGATTTCAAAGATTCCCTGTGGTTCTTTCGGATTCCAAGGATTCCATTGGATTCCATCGGATTCCATCGGATTCCATCGGATTCCATTGGATTCCATCGGATTCCATTGGATTCC